TGGGGGGGGGGCTGCAGGAAGGTTGACCCTCCCTTGTGGGGAACGCCAAGCCCGCTTCCTGGCTTGAATAAAAAAGGAAATAATGATCACCTAAATAGGGAAAAGAAAAACGAGGGAGGAAAAAAAAAAACGAGGGAGAGATGAAAGTTGCAAACGAGGGAAAGATATAAGCTGGATTAAAAAAAAAAAAAAAAAAAGGGAAGCGGGAGATGAACTGTAGTCCGGAGGCCAACGCCAAGCGCGCTTCCTGGCTTGACTGACAAACGAGAGAATGGTTACCTTTCAAAAAAAAAAAAAAAAAAAAAAAAGAGGGCGAGATAAAGGCTGGATTAAGGAGGGGGGGGAAGAAAGAGAAGATTCAGAATTTAATTTTCATCATTAAAAAAAATATAAATCCAATAAAATGAAATAAATCAAAAAAGAAAAAAGAAAAAGAGGGAGAGATATAAGCTGGATTAAAAAAAAAAAAAAAAAAGGCTGGAGAGATGATGACCTGAGTGAATTTGATTACAAATAAGTTTTTGACTGTTCGAGACCTGTAGTCCGGGGGTCTAGACCCACTAGCAGCGTTGAGTTTCATCAACGCCTGAATCTGGACGTGTTTCTGGGAATGTGCGGTTGAGGAAACTCAACGCGATGTTCTGCACATCTCCACAAACACGTCCAGATTCGGGCATTGAGAAAACTCAACGCTGCTAGTGGGACAAAAGAGAAAATGGGAAGGAAAAAAAAGGTCGAAAAAAAAATTTAAAAAAAAAACAACAAAGGCTTTATCCACGGAGGATATGTAACCAGTTGCCTATCTCCCAATGAAAGATTTATCAGTCAGGAATTCCTTTTTTTTTTTTTTTTTTTTTCCATGTCCCCTTTTTATATACAAGCCGGGAAACGGGCCCGGCCTCCTTTACAAAAGTGTGCGGTGCCACAGAGGTGAGCGAGGCATCACCGGCCATGCTTAACCTTTATGAGCAATCTTGTAATTAATTAATTAATTAATAATAAAGTAATTGTTAATAATTAATAGTTAAGTAATTAATTAATTAATAATAAAGTAATTGTTAATAATTAATAGTTAAGTAATTAATTAATTAAGAAAAGGAAACGTAATTTCTGACCAACGAATGACAGCTTGTTACACTTTTTGCTCGTTTGCAGATTAACCCTTGTCCTTTTTTTTTTTTTTGTTCAACCCTTGTCCTTTTCAAGACAAGGTAGATGATTACCCGGTGGATTGCAGTTTAGTTTTGCTTTTCTTCAATTGATGTTGACGGCCGACTTGAAAAAAAAAAGAAAAAAAAAGGGAAAAAAAAAAGGAAAAAAAAAAAGGGATACAGTGGGTCTGTTTGGACGGCGATTGGCGCTAAACTGGGCAATCCCATGCAAGGCGGATAAAGCTTGACATAGCAGGGAAAAGGGGGAAAAAAAAAGAAAAAAAAAAGAAGAAGAATATCATTTTCACCAAAAAATGCGGCCATAATTTTATTTTTGGGGGTACTAGGGCGCAATCACGATTTCAGTTTAAAATCCAGTTCAGTCATCCCTTGAATACAACACACCCCCACCGGACCCTAATGCTAGGTTGTATACATTCACCATTTTTTTCGCGTTTTGCCACAACAGTCGCGAAATCGTGCCTGAAGCTAGGCTACCAGCCGGGCCGCCCGGGTCCCGGGTGGCCAGCCCGTGCAAGGACCAAGGTAAGGTCCCAGCAACGACAACAACCAAAAAAAAATCCAAAAAATTCGAAAAAACAACTATGTTATGCAGAAAAATAAACTGAACAACTTTTGCCTCAGGGTCACATCGAAATTCTTCACCAAACTTAGAATAAAAAATAAACATTAAAAATATTTCTTTTATTTTTTGTATTTTTTTTTTTTTTGGCCCGGCCGGCCAAGTGACCCCGGGCCAATCTGGTGCCTACCGTCTTCCCCCGAGCATAACGCACCCTAAAAATGAATGTATACAACTATATTTCCGGCCAGATACAGCCAAAATGAGGGTGCGTTGTGTTGGGGGGAAGCCGGTAGGCGTGAAGTGCATTTTCAAACTGAAACGCGTGACAGCGCCCTATTTTTTTCCCTTTTTTTTTAAAGGAGCGTGGTGGGGGGGGGTAAGTATTTTATTAAGAAAAATCGGCAACGACTCTGCGTTGCTTTTTAGTTGGTGATACATTCCAATTTCATTCTTTTTATTTTCTCTCTTTTTTTTTTTTTTTTTTTTTTTTTTGCTGGTACCTTGATCGGGTTTCGACTTTTAAACTCAAACAGCTTTTCAACTTGAACTTTTAAACTTAAACAGCTGGTTCTATTCTTGATATTAGATTCGGACTTTCAAGTTGGACTCCAATGGAAACAACTGTGGCTGGCTGGCCTAGAAAGAGGTACCTGTCTTGAATCATCACAGTGACTTTCTTTGTGGGTGTTTTTTTTTTGAAACAAACTCCCAGCCCCTTCTATTCCGGGGGGCATCAGTCCGGTTGCTTCTCACCGGCAAGCAAAGTGTTTTGAAACAAGCAGCGGGGGGGGGGGGGGGGGGGGGGGGGGGGAAAGGGTTAGACAGAAAGAATAGTCGGCAGAGCCTGGGGGCTCGAGCGAGGAGGGGGGGGGGTCGTTGCTCCAGGACCACCCGCTCCTACCCTTTGGCCTGTCCTTAGGGATGGCCCTGCAAATCGGGAAGCTTACTAGCAGCACCCAGGCACACTGCAGGACAATCCCTAAGGGATCAAGGCACCGGGGGGGTAGGAAGAGGGGGGGGTCTTCCTAGCAGCCCCTCGGGCCGCCTGTTACTTACTCACACCTTCCCACCATGTCTACCTGAGCCCAGTAGTTCCTCTGCCTCCTATCCCCACGTCATTTGTATCCCCTGCCTCCTATCCCCATGTCATCTGTATCCCTGAATCATCACTTTGATTCCTACTGCTTGCGGTTTTGTTGGCAGGGGTGGGCATCACACCTGTGCAATGAACCTTAGCTTGAGAAGTTCAGATTTCTATCTTTCCTTCCATCCCCAGCACAGAAACTTGTGCATATATCGCGGCGATACACAATTATCACAAAACACATCCTCCAATATAAT